ACTGGCTGCTCTTCCAGAGGTCCTGAGTTCAATTCCCAGCAACCACATGGTGGCTCACAACCATCTGTAATGAGATCTGGTGCCCTCTTTCTGGCCTGCAGTCATATACGCTATACAAAAAAAAATATAAAAAAAAAAAGTTGCTGTGGTCATGCTGTCTCTTCACAGCAATAGAAACCCTAAAATAGCACCTAAATGAAAACCATTATTATATATAATTAATATAAGCTAATGAACCCATTAAAAATGTCCAGGCTTTAAGAGCAGTATCAAGTGCATTAGACACTATGAAACCAGCAGAGTCTAGGATATAATGTTTAAGAGAAATCTTCTAATCTCAAACAGATGACAAAGCTCAAAGATAAATACATTATAAATTTCAGGACAATTCCTACTTGGTGGCTTCTACCCACTACATGGTCCTTAGGATTCACCAGTCACAGATCAGTTCGGCAGAAAAACTCATTGAAAACACCTGCCACAGGAAGGCAGATACTCAATACACATACACAGTTTTTGCCAGGCTGTCTATATTTAATGTTTCTTCATCTATAAAATGTGGGACAAGGTGGGGCTAGAGAGATAGCTCAATGATTAACAACACTGGCTGCTCTTGCAGAGGACCTGGGTTCCATATTTAGCACCCACACAGCAGCTTGCAACTGTCTTTAATTCCAGTTCCAGATGCCCTCTTCTGCCTCTGTAGGCATTGCAGGAACACGGTACCCAAACATACATGCAGTCAAAACACCCACACACATAAAATGAAAATATTTTAAAAAAATGGGAGACATGGCCATAACCCTTGAACCCTAGGGTATATAGTCTTGTGGTAAGTATATGATTGACACACACAAGGCCCTGAGTCTGACCCCTAGAACTACCCAAAAAGGGGTGGCGGGCAGAAATAGGCCTTTCAAATGCTTTAGAGAGAAACAGTTGGTATTCAAATGTTACTTTAGTGTCTATACAGTATTTTTAAGAACTTTATGCTCTAGAATATGGTCAACAACTAGTTTAGTAAGTTTACTGTAATAAAAATTTTAAAAAGCAGGGCAGTGGTGGCACATGCCTTTAATCCCAGTACTTGGAAGGCAGAGGCAAGAGGGTCTCTATGAGTTTGAGGGCAGCCTGATCTACAGAGCAAGTTCCAAGACATCCAATGCTACACACAGAGAAACCCTGTGTCGAAAACAAAAATCAAAAGCAACGAAATTTAAAAATGAAAAACAAGGGCCAGTAAGATGTAGCAATTGCTACAAAATATTGATGACGTAAGTTCAAGCCCTAGAACTCAGTGCAAAATGTTTCAACCTCTACACACAACACATACACAGAAACACTTATAACAAAAGGGGGAAAAAACTATTAATCAACTTAAAACTGGTGATAAGTTAAATTTAATAAAACTCCTGTATTAAAACATTTAAGGACCGGGCAGTGGTGGCGCACGCCTTTGATTCCAGCACTGGGAAGGCAGAGGCAGGCGGATCTCTGTGAGTTCAAGGCCAACCTGGTCTACAGAGTGAGATCCAGGAAAGGCACCAAAAACTACACAGAGAAACCCTGTGTCGAAAACAAAAATCAAAAGCAACGAAATTTAAAAATGAAAAACAAGAGCCAGTAAGATGTAGCAATTGCTACAAAATATTGATGACGTGAGTTCAAGCCCTAGAACCCAGTGCAAACTGTTTCAACCTCTACACACAACACGCACACAGAAACACTTATAACAAAAGGGGGAAAAAACTATTAATCAACTTAAAACTGGTGATAAGTTAAATTTAATAAAACTCCTGTATTAAAACATTTAAGGACCGGGCAGTGGTGGCGCACGCCTTTGATTCCAGCACTAGGAAGGCAGAGGCAGGCGAATCTCTGTGAGTTTGAGGCCAGTCTGATCTACAAAAGGGAGTTCCAGAAAAGCTAGAGCCACACAGAGAAACACTGTCTCAAAAAACAAAACAAAACAAAAAACCAAACAAGCAAAACAAAACTTAACAGTAGTAAAACCTTAAAAAAAGTTAATATTGAAATTCCCCTCAGAGAGGCCTTCCTCCTTTGCACCTACCTATTACATAAGGACAGAGCAGTTGTCAAATACAACCCGGGATACAGTTTGTGGTTTTCGCTTGCTTTCCTTATTGCAAACCTGCCCTTTCTGTCTTTTTTGTGAGATAGGGTCTCTCTACACAGTCAGAACTCACAGAGATCTGCCTGCTTCTGCCTCCCAAGTGCATGTGCGCACCACCTTTCTGCTTCTGTGCGTCACTCCACTAAAGCCTTGCATAAAGGTCATATAGCGTGCTCTGTGTCCAAAATGGAAGCATGACATACTAATGAGGTGTCCAAGTGGAGCACACTGTCAGTGACTCCCTCTAACCTCTACCTGCTCCATCGCCTGTTTTTCAGGAGATTGTCCCTTCCAGCCAAGTAGGAAGCCATGGAGTCTTACGCAATGTTCTGACATACCCGAGGTTGAACCTCTTTCAGCATTGCACTGGCATCCTCGTCATAATCCAGTTTACAGGCAAGGGCGAGATCATGAGCTGCTTCTTCCCAGTGACCCAGAAGTCTGAAACAGATGTAAACTCATTGAAAGAGCCATTACAAAAGCAGAGTAACACAAAGTTTTCAGTCAATTATTAGCTACAAATTTTTATCAACCAATTTAAGAACTGTGTTACTGTGATGGTTAACTTTCTGAGAACTTGAAGGAACTGAAATTCCTACAACGCTAATTGTGATATATTTAAAAGAAGGATATAAAGCAGTAATTTTCTAACATGAAAGACACTTCACATGGTATTTCCTGTGTAGGATTTTATTGAGAAAACAACCAAAACTGGTACTCAGAACTAAAAGCCTAGTAGTGGAGAGGCAGTTGAAAATGAGGTGGAGAACATGACATGAAATACTGCCACCCCCTCAAGATAAATGTAATAAAAATGATAAAGCAAACTCTAAACCCAAATACACACAGAAATGAGACTACCACATTCACACCACACTACACGCACCCTAAAGTATTTTTTTTTTAGCTACATATTTAAAATGGGCTACATTCTTAAGGACAATCCTGACTGCCAAGAAAACCTTTACAATTTACTTGGTGGGTATGCTGTGCTAAGACAGTAACTATGAAATACTGGTACACATACAGTAGGTTTACAAAATCACATAGGGACAAAAACTTAAAAGATACACATTCATTTTTTAATTGAAAATTTCAGTATAAACTCAACTTATAAATTCTTCATTCAAATCATGAATTTATAAAGACAGTAACAGAAGCAGTAAATATGCCCTAAAACACAAATTTTAGTGCCCATGAAAATGAACTATGGGTTCTTAAAAAATAGCTTATTCTAAATCTGTAACCAGCCAGGTTTAAGATGAATCCATGCTTGTATTAGACAGCAAAAGACCACTTGAGGACTAGGGGCTGCTTTCTAAGAAACCAACAATAATGTGAGTGTCTCCTATACCTACACAGCATTAATACATTTTATTTCAACCTTTCTTTGACATGTCTTCATAAAAAAAATCACTACCGTAAGTCATTTAATACATTTGTGCAAAGAAAATCCATTCTCATTGCCGGGCGGTGGTGGCACATGCCTTCAATCCCAGCACTCAGGAGGCAGAGGCAGGTACATCTCTGTGAGTTCAAGGCCAGCCTGGGCTACAGAGTAAGTTCCAGGAAAGGCGTAAAGCGACACAGAGAAACCCTGTCTCGAAAAACAAAAAAAAAGAAAGAAAAAAAGAAAAAAAAAGAAAACCCATTCTCTTCAGGTGGTTAGTGATGCCATGCCTCTAATCCCAGCTCTTGGAAGAGGCCAGCCTGGTCCACAAAGTGAGTTCCAAGACAGCCAATGATCTTAGAAAGAAACACCCTGTCTTAAAAAAACTAAAACAATCTAAGAATGGTAACAATTGCATATTGAATGCCCAAACTTGAAACATTTTACTCATTACTGGGACTTTTCATAAAATCTGGATAAAAGGCATTTTTACCCAGTCTAGTACTCACTTCTAGTGGTAAAACTTAGGGTTTCACAAGTGTTCAGGTCTTGGGGAAGTTCAGTGACTCTTGATTGAGAAGCTGATGTAGGCGAAGTGTGAACAGAGATGAGAATGGGTGTGCACCACCACTACCCAGTAACACCCAGCTTTTTAAATCATGGGTTTTATGGGTCAAACTCAGTCTTCCAAGCACCGTTACCAGCTAAGCCACTTCCTCGGCCCTATTTATTTGCTCATTTACCTGTGTGCTTTCCCTCGCCATTTGTATGGCTGAGCTGAATCAGGGTTTATTTCAATGGCTCTGTCACAGTCTCGGATGGCAGCATTGGGCTTCTGTAACTTGACGAACACACTAAAAAACCAAGGTAGTAGTAAGAAAAATTTCACTTCAAACAATAAAACCTTTGGGATTGCTATAGAATCAAAATTCTTAAAATAAAGGAGGATAAGAAGTTTACAAAAGATACTTTTGTACTTAAATGTTCTTACCTGGCTCTCTTGGCATATAGGATTGCCAAGCGAGGATTTAGCTTGATGGCATCAGTAAACAAGTCAATGGCTTTCTGCAGCTCACCTGAAGTGAAACAAGACTTACTAATATCCAAAGGACAAAAATATTAATAAAATACTTTGACTTTTTAATCTGATTAAGAATTATATTCTTTTCTGTCTACTTTTTTTTAAAAAGAAAAAAGACTAATAGAGATGGGAGACATAGCTCGATGACATGTACTTTCCAACAAGCATTAAGCATTGTGTTGAGCAGTCAGTACAGTAATATTTTTTTAAATAAGGGGCCAGAGGGATGTCTCAGTGGTTAAGAACATTGCTATTCCAGAAGATCCAGGTCCAATTTCCAACACCCATATCAACTCACAACCCACCACCTATAACCCAAGTTCCAGGAAATCTGATGCCTTCTTGTGGCCTCCAAGAGCACTAGGATACCCATACACACAAAATAAAAGTAATTTTAAAATAAGGGTCAGGTGTGGTGGCATACACTTTTAACCCAGCACTTGGGAAGCAAAGGCCATCCTAGTCTACAGAGGGAAGCTCCAGGACAGCCCAGGCAATTACACAAAGAAACTCTGTCTTGAAAAACAAAACAAAACAAAACAAATTCTTTAAAGAAAAAAAGAAAATCAAGATGATGCAGGTTTGTAAACTCTAACACCCAAGAAGCAGAAGTCAGAGGATTACAAACTGAAGGCAAGCCTAGGCTACACAATTAGTCCTAGAAAACCTGGACTATAGGAAGACTGCCTCAGAAGAAAAGTAGCAGCAGAGAACGAACTTCTGAAAGCTCTTCTCTGACCTCTACACATGCACTGTGCATGTGTAGCCCAACCCCAACCCCAACCCCAAGCAAAAAACAAATAAATGGAAGCTGGAGTAATGGTCAGGAAACTGACTGCTCTTGCAAAGGAACCAGTTTGGTTCCCAACACCTACAAGGAGGCTAATTCATTTCTAACTCTAGTTCCAGGGGATCTAATGTCCTGTTCAGAACTCCAAGGGTGCCAGGCACACATGTGGTGCACGTACATACATGCAAGCAAAGACAAAGAGACACACACACACACACACACACACACACACACACACACACACACACAAGAAATAACTCTTTTAAAAATCCAAAACATTACTGGGCGGTAGTGGCCCACTCCATTAATCCCAGCACCCAGGAGGCAGAGGAAGGAGGACCTCTGTGAGTTCAAGGCTAGCATGGTTTACAAAGAGAGTTCCAGGACAGCCCGGGCTATTACACAGAAAAACCCTGTCTTGAAGAAAAAAAAAAAAGTAAATGTAAAAAAACAGTAAGCATATTAATTTTATGCTAGTCATCTTAAGTTTTACTTGTTAGAAGAATAAATTCAGCCTAAAGAGGATAAAGTGCCCCACACTAATTTCACAGGATTGGTAAGAAAACAAGAGTACTGCTTAAATTCACAGAAATGGAGACATTTAAGCCATGAAGCCATTAACCTTTACTCACTGCTACCATGATTTGTCTCTCTGTGTGTTAATGCATGTATAAATACATGCACGCGTGTTGGGGCCAGAAGAGGAATGGCACTGGCTCCCATGGAGCCCCCAACACGGGTGCTGGGGTCCTAACTCTAGTCCTGGAAACCAAGTGGACAGCAAGCATTCCCACTCCTTGAGCCATCCTCCAGCCCACATTCTTAGATTTACAGATAGTGAACCACATCCATTTGTTCTTATTTTGTGTACATGTATGCAGACAAATCAGGACAACTTTCAGAGGTTTATCTCTTTCCATCATCTGAGTCCCAGGGGCTGAACTCAAATTTCCAGGCTCAGTAGCAAGCACCTTTACCTAGTAAGCCATCTTGCTGGCCCAAAAGCTTTTGTTTTCCTTAAAAAAAAAAAAAAAAAAAAAAACTTGTCCTTTAAGAGAAGTTGCCTTTCTTCTTTCTCTCTGGACCCTCGCCTCCTCCAAGCCCTCTGTCTCCTCTTGCCACCTCACACGGGATCCTTGGCGCCAACAAATCACACGCACCCCTTTGCCGGGCGGTGGTGGCGCACGCTTTTAATCCCAGCACTCGGGAGGCAGAGCCAGGCGGATCTCTGTGAGTTC